GTATATATGAAAGTTTTAGTGAGTGTATTCATTGTATTATCAACATGCTTATTAAAAATGTTTTTATTATTATTTCTTGCAGAGACACTGAACTGGACAAATGTAAATCAGCAGCTCCATTTGTACATTACGTGTTTTTAATAACACAAAATATAATATGTCAACTGTGTTTCTCCCAGATGGGTTTCAGTGTAGGCTGCAACCAGTTTTGTTTGACTTGCACCACAAGTTATTAAGCCCATGTGACTGGACATTGTTTGGTTTTATTGATTTTTCACACTTATTTGTTCTTCTCCATTAATTCTGGAGAAATTTCAAAGAAACTGCTAATTGTGAGAGTTAAGGTCTCTGGATGTGCCATGACGTATTTCAGTAACATTTCTTCTGAGAGCCAGAGCAATAAATAACCAGAGAATGAGGAATTAAAAGGGGCATTTGAAGAGAGCCAAGTGAAAATCAATGAACCGAGGCSAGCTAGCCATGGATTAACACATGCCGATATGCAAAAAAGACAAAGCGCTTCATAAGGAAAGATTAATAGCAGATATGAGCCAGTTAATCACCACAGCCACAGGTCCCGGGAAGCAAAAACAGAAGTGATGAAGTAAAGCAAAGAAGCAAAGCAAAAGCACGGCAAACTCATCAGTTCAAAAAAACCTGTTCCAGTTTCTCTGTTTTGCACCACATACGAACCATCCCTTTTGTTACTGTGCTAATTCACTATACCTATCTCTGACTTGTATCTCAGAGGTGGCCTATAAATAGCCTCTTCAAGGCTTCCTTTATTTCATCAGCAGGTGTATTTATCGACAGGTAATGGAAACKACAGCAACACTTTTGCTGTCCTGCCTGTGCCTTCAGAGACGATAGGAAGCAAGTGGAGGAAGATGTTGCTACCAAGGTAACTGTAGAAATATTGACGATTCCACAAAAAAGACAAGGTCATTCAGGAAAGGATGAACTGAAAGTGTTCACTGCGGAATAAAAACAGCGAGGGAAAGCCATTGTTCTGTTCAGTACTGACAGAAGGRGACTGAAATGGAAACATGACTGACTAATATCTTCTCTTACCACAGCACATTAGTCATGCTAGTCATAGTGTTTAAATCAAAAATGCTGTAATTCAGGTGTACCAGTTGCTTAARTATTGCAGMAATCAAATGATTTAAAACTTTAAYTRGAAGTGATTAGAATTACGATGTGCAAAAACATCCTTTWATGAGGATGAAAGTCTCCGTTACAGTGGTGTTTCAACTGTGCTTGCCTTCCAGAAACTGGTGCATTTCCCATAGTGACTGGAGATTTCATGAGTTTGAATACTGGGACACTACAAAAAATGACCAAATTACATCATTACTGCCACAGTTTTAATATCAGCATAGGGTTGAAATTTGAAATTTGAATTGTAGTTTAAATAGCTAACAGCTGGGCCTGTCAATAAAGCCACACATCTGTCCAGATCGAAAGAGCCACAGCAGGTGGTCTGTAACTTAATTGTAATTGTAATGATAAGTGTTTAAGTTTTCTTATTAGGCACAAATTTCCTTGGCATTAAGATAAATCACCCCAGGTGTTAGCAGGGTACATACAGCATGTTTATAAAAATTTACGATAATAAGCCATTTTTGTTTTAATACCAGATGCAGGTTCTTTTAAGGTACTCATTGTAGAGAATGAAATAATAATTAAAAAATCCTGAATTATATTAAAATGTACCGTTTACTCCAGAGGATTCCCAAAATTATTTTTAAGAAAAGTTGAAATTTGGGTCCACGCTCAATGTAAACAAAGCAACTGGACTGAATTCACTCCAGTGTTGCAAAGTAACGCTATAAAGCAGTGGTCCCCAAACTACGGCCCGCGGGCCGGATCCTGCCCGCCTCCCTATTTGGCCCGGCCCCCAGAAAAATACCAGAGAGCATTTAGTTTTTTTTCATTTATGTGTATTTATATTTGATTATAAAGTTGGACTTTTGCAATAAATTGTTCCATAATTATGAACTATTTTCATTATTTACTATTATTAGTTAGTAACTATTTCATTCATAAACACGTATAAGGTGACATTCTGTTCCACCCTTCTGTGGTCTGTGCCTCTATCTGGCAACCCCCAGAAAAAAATCCTAAACCCGCCCCTCTCAAAGAGAGAAYGGAATAATGGCGAAAAGATTAGGTAAGAGAAAAATTGATTCAGAATGCAGG